TTATAGGAACAAATTCTTTTAGTTTCTAATTTTAAAATGGTAAAGACATTTTAACCAAGGAAGACAGGCAGGTAAATGGCCATCAAACCTTGACACGTGAGCTCTGAAATTGAACACACCTGCCACTCATTAAAAAACTCAAGGGTGGGTAGTAACAGCATCAGAACATGAAAGTTGGGGACACACAAAAGATTTTAAAGCTACACTGGTTGTGACATTCCTTGATCCAGGAACTGGTTCTTTTTTCCTTGCACTTTTTTGAAGTGAGTATACTTTTTTTGTTCTTGAGACCAAGACAGACAGCAAAGATAATTTTATCAGCAGTCAGAAAGACAAATATTCAATGCCACAGGAAATGACATGAATACCTTGTTAACCCCACAGTTGAGGCAGACCATTTGTCTGACTAAACCAAGGTCTACTGAGATTATGACAAAGATATGGGTAGCTCAAATGCCAGAAAATAAGAGAATTATTAATTAAAATAAACAAACAAAAGGGTCATACATAAGGAGTCATCTAGATTCCTTGTTATGTCCTCTTCAAAGAGATTGATACCCTGTCTTTGATAGCAAGATCTAAAACCAAAAACATATTCCAGTATTTCCTCCACTACTGAAGGCAACAGAAAAGCTGTTTTAAAAACAAAACTAGGGTTAATCTATAATCAAGAGAAGTGAATATGAAATATTTATTACCAGATGGTAAGATTAACTCTGAGAGGTCAAACCGGCAAACTCAGGTTCTTGGAGCCCATGAGACACACATCTCAGACAACAAAGTATAGTTGACTCCCACAGTTGGGACCATACTTGGGACCTATAGATCCATGCCAACTGGGCAAGGAAGACTAAGAAACAAAGGTCAGCATTAAAAAAGTAACTTTATTTGCAACTTTATATTTTATATTTCAGAAGAACTAGGCTCTCAATGTAAGATATAGCAAATGCTCAAATTAAAAAAAAAAAAACTCCAAGTTTGAATTAGTCTGTTAAATTCTCTTTTTTTTTGCCCTAGGCATTTTAATATATTTTATTGATTATGCTATTACAGTTGTCCCATTACCCCCTTCATTCCCCTTCACCCTGCACACCCTCTCCCACCCACATTCCCCGCCTTTAGTTCACATCCATGTGTCATAAGTTCTTTAGCTTCTACATTTCCCATACTATTCTTGCCCTCCCCCTGTCTATTTTCTACCTACCATCTATGCTACTTATTCTCTGTACCTTTTCCCCCTCTCCTCCTCCTACTCCCATGTTGCTAACCTTCCATGTGATCTCCATTTCTGTGGTTCTGTTCCTGTTCTAGTTGTTTGCTTAGTTTCTTTTGTTTTTTGTTTTAGGTGTGGTTGTTAATAATTGTGAGTTTGCTGTCATTTTACTATACATGTTTTTTATCTTCTTTTTCTTAGATAAGTCCCTTTAATAATTCATAAAATAAGGGCTTGGTGATGATGTACTCCTTTAACTTAACCTTATCTGAGATGCACTTTATCTGCCCTTCCATTCTAAATGAAAGCTTTGCTGGAGAGAGCAGTCCTGGATGTAGGTCCTTGCTTTTCATGACTTGGAATACTTCTTTCCAGCCCCTTCTTGCCTGCAAGGTCTCTTTTGAGAAATCAGCTGACAGTCTGATGGGAACTCCTTTGTAGGTGACTGTCTCCTTATCTCTTGCTGCTTGCTGCTCTTTCATTTTTACCTTGGCTAATGTAATTCTGATGTGCTTTGGTGTGTTCCTCCTTGGGTCCAACTTCTTTGGGACTCTCCAGGCTTCCTGGACTTCCTGGAAGCCTATTTCCTTTGCTAGATTGGGGAATTTCTCCTTCATTATTTGTTCAAATAACGTTTCCACTTGTTGCTCTTCCTCTTCCCCTTCTGGTACCCCTATAATTTGGATGTTGGAATGTTTAAAGATGTCCAGGAGGTTCCTAAGCCTCTCCTCATTTTTTTGAATTCTTATTTCTTTATTCTTTTCTGGTTGTATGTTTTTTTCTTCCTTCTGGTCCACTCCATTCATGTGAGACCCAGCTTTCATTCCATCACTATTGGTTCCTTGTGCATTTTTCTTCATTTCACTTATTGTAGCCTTCATTTTTTCATCAAATTTGTGACCGAAATCAACCAATTCTGTGAGCATCCTGATCACCAGTGCTTTGAACTGTGCATCTAATATGTTGGCTATCTCTTGGTTGCTTAAAAATATTGGTTCTGAGGCTTTCATTTGTTCTTCTGTTTGAGTCATCTTTTTTTTTCCTTTGGTCTGGTCACACCTGTTGCGTATGAGGGGCAGAGCCTTAGGTGTTCACCAGGGTGGGGCACCCCAGTCGCTGGGTTGTGACATATGTAGGGGCAGGGCCCGAGAAGGAACAATGGTATTTGCTCCTCTCTCTGTTGGACCTCAGTCCCTCGTGCCACTTCCCCCGAGCAAACTGGGCCCCTCTAGGGTCAATTCCCGTGTAGGTGGGCTTGTGCACCCCATGGGACTTTCCAATGACTTCTCCTGAGAGGCTGGGAGTCTCTCCCTGCACCTCAACCCCCACAGATGTTTTCAATCAGTGCCCCAAGGCTCTATTTCCCAGCACTAAGATCCTAGGTTGAGTGCAGTGCCTTACTTCACAATCACCACCTTGCTGGGTCTGCTGGTTGCCACCCCTCAGCCGGGGTCTGCCAGCTGCCAGTTGCACACCAAGGGTCCACCCACTGTGGTCTTGCATGCCCCGGTTGCCTTACATGCCCAGTCCCAACACTCTCTGCTCTCTGTACCACGACCTGGCCAGCTGCAGGACTCTACCCCTCCTCCTGGTCTGGATGAACATGTCTACTTTAACTCTTTAGGTGTCCGACTTCCATACAGTTCAATTTTCTGTAAGTTCTGGTTGTTATTCTGTTTCTAAATTGCTATTGTCCCTATCTTGGTTGTGTGAGGAGGCACAGTGTGTCTACCTATGCCTCCATCTTGGCCGGCAGTCTGTTTAAATTCTTAATGGTAGAAAATAACAGTTACTTCGACATAAGTACTATGTTTTCAAAGATCTTACATATGTGTTGGTATCAGCATTTAGTTAAGGAGTCATCAACTCACAGGAAGGGGACTCAAGGCTTCCTCTATCTTGTAGTCTAGAGGGAAATACAGTGTTCATGTGCATAAGTGCATTCATCTGTGTGCACTTAGATAAAATGGCAGCTGGGTAAAATACCTGCTTTCCTTCTATAACATAACTGCACTCTTTGTTCAAAGTACTTCATGTGCAAAGACTCACATCATAGCTCATACTACACAGAGCTTTATTTAAATGCCAATTATGTATTAAGACCTATCCTAAACTTTGAAAGTATAGCAGTTAAAAGAATAGACTGTGGCTGATGTAGCTCAATGGATTGAGTGCAGGCTGTGAACCAAAGAGCTGCCAGTTCAATTCCCAGTCAGGGCACATGCCTGGGTTGTGGGCCAGGTCCCCAGTGGGGGCTGAGTGAGAAGCAACCACACATTGATGTTTCTCTCTCTCTCTTTCTCCTTCCCTTCCCCTCTCTCTAAAAATAAGTAAATCTTTAAAAAAAAGAATAGAAAAAAACCCTGCCCTCATCTTTGAAAACTGAGCCATGCTTTACTTATTATAACATCCCTTCACCCATCTTGCTCAGTACCGCATGTGTATGCATAATAGATGCCAAAGAAATGATTGTTAAATTGAATTGATTTTTTTATTAGAGGTTGATTTCTAAATCAAGTTGCATTATAGAACTGCTTTGGTATATGACTATTTAGGAGCAATTATTTTACCAATCATATGTGAATTGTTTAAAACTTTATTTTTCATGAACACACAATACACTTATTGAGACTAATGTTGGTTAGAAGGAATTAGCTAAATTGTTAGCTACTAGAACATAGCTGTTTTAATCTCAGTCTTTAAACCATTTCCATTGCTGGGACATTACAATTAAAAATCCTTTTATATTTATTCATAGATACTTGAATCCATCCTTTCAAATTAAATCATTAGGGACTTCCATATATTGAAATTTAGTAAGACCTTTTTTCTTCATCCACAGCTTGCTCAAAATGAATACTCAATTTTTTTCTCAGTCCAAAATATTGACAAAATTTCAAATCAGCCAACATTGGTCAAACTGTGGGCAACTCCAAGACAGGGGCTATCTCCTCAAAATGCCCAGCACAACCCCTGGCATAGAACCAAATTGGTTCTGTTAAATTGGACCAAACCTACTGATTTTGACTAAGAATCCTGTCATCACACAACACTACAACTGATGGCAGATTCTTTTCTTCAGAATGCATTTTAATACTATCTAACTTATAAGATGACATGGGAACTTGAAAATATAGCATATTTTATGCTAATCAGGTAGACTAAAAATTAAACATTTTTTTCAACAGGAAAAATTCTTGAACACATTTCTTTTCAAAGCACCTCAAAAGTAGCTTTGGTTTTGTGATCTTGGTCTCCTAGGTTATATCGGATGCCTCAGGTTGTTTTCTTTTTCTTTCTTTTTATTTGAGGAGCAAACTCAAAATCTTCGTAATAATTTCTTTGTTCTGTTTTCTATTGTAAACAACAAAACATCATTTCTGCTTCCCCTAGATACCAAGCCATTTTTCCTCTTAATACAGGAAAAATTACCTCCTGTCTAAAAATGTCTTGCACCAGCACTTCCTTGTAAAGGAGAGTACTCTAAGCATATGTAGAGGGATAAATGTCCATGTGTTCAGATGTGCAAGAAGCAATATTTCTATGTTACTTTGTAACAAGATAATTTCCTTAAGGCCTCATTTCACCTGATGAGAGATAATATAATCTTAGTCAACAGCTCTCCTAAAGTTAGGCATTTCAGGTAAAATTTAATAAAATTTAGTTAAAATATCAATCTAGGACTCCCCATCACCATTTTTCTCCATACTAAGTATCTTCTAAGTTCCTGAGGCAGAGATTACCCAGGGTCATGGTGTGAGGATGTGGCATTTGTCCATGCTGGACGATGCATTGTCCAGATCAAATCCTCTGTAAGTACTGAATTCCCTGTCTTAAGAACAGATTCACTGTTATTCCATACAGGCTGAATTCATTTCCCATACTAGTAACCTGTGGCCTTTGGATGTGGTCAGTTTCTCATACTGAGACCCTCTACGTATACCATCCACACTGATTGTCTCTACTCTGCTGCACTCATGCCAGGGTGAGGACCGGAACTGCAACACAGTTTCCAGGCAAGAAGAAGACGCACCTCTCTTCTCTTCTCTTCTCTTCTCTTCTCTTCTCTTCTCTTCTCTTCTCTTCTCATATACCCACACTCAGTGATGGCTCTATTGCTAATCTCAGAGTGTAGAGGCAAGAAACAGGGCTTTTTTTTTCCCCCAGAAACCATAAATAGCCTCCAAGTATCTTGCTTACATTTTCAACAATTTTTGCCTCATTCCTGCCTCTTAGAATATTTATATAGGCTGGAAGAGAGAATATTATTATTTATGACAAAAAATTGATGACCTGAGAGCTCTGCTTTTGAAAAAACAAAATTAAAGTTGTTAAAATTCAAAATTATTGTCTCTATCTTGGCCTTCAAAAGAACATTTAAAAAATAAAAACACCAGTCTCTTCCTCAGTGCTGTTACAGAGATGGCAGCTATCTCTTACTCGGTACTATAGCTGCCCTCAGACCTCTCATGAAACCCAAGATTGTAAAAAAGAGGACCAAGAACTTCATCTGGCACTGGTCAGGCCAATATGTCAAAATTATGTGGAACTGGTGGAAACCCAGAGGTATTGATAGTAGGGTATGCAGAAGATTCAAGGGCCAGATCCTGATGCCCAACGTTGGTTATGGGAGCAACAAGAAAACAAAGCACATGCTGCCCAGTGACTTTTGGAAGTTCCTGATTCACAACGTCAAGGAGCTTGAAGTGCTGCTGATGTGCAACAAATCTTACTGTGCTAAGATTGCTGACGTCTCCTCAAAGAATGGCAATGCCATTGTGGAAAGAGCAGCCCAGCTGCCATCATATCACCTATCCCAATGCCATGCTGTGCAGCAAAGAAAATAAATAGAAAGATTGTGTACACATTGTATTTGTGTTAATAAAACCTTAAAATCCTGCCAAAATAAAATAAAATAAAAACAGCAACCCCTAACCTTTTTCTCCTTCTGGATTTCCACAATATCAGCCTACCCTGGAGACAACAATCCTACAATGTTCCAGCTACCTAGACTGTGGGAAAGTTGAGATACATGCACAGTTCAGGGTCCAAGCTATTAAAAGAAGCAAAGTAAGTTATTTCAAATACAGGAAGTTTAATACAGGCCATTAGTTAGTGTGAAAGGTATTGAAAGTTAATAAAACAAAAATTGAACTTTGAGATAACTTTAAGAGGCAGTCACCACCCCTAGGTCTTGGAGAACAAAAAGGAAAAGATAGGTGTTACCAGGTCCTAGGACCTCAGAACAGGTCTGACCAGTGAAGGGATGTTCCCAGCCAGTGCACAGACCTCAAGGGTGGGCCCTGCATGGCTGGCACTAGGACTCGGAGGGGACACTGCAACCCAGTGCTCGAACTCCTGAGAAGGTTACTACAGTGGCTGGCTCTCAAACCTCTGATGAAGCACTGCTTCTCTGATCTTGGATTCCTGAGGCTGCTCATAGAACAACTGGTGCTCAGAGATCTAAGAGGCACTGTCCAGCTAACCTTTGGACTTTTGAGGGGCTGTGCATGCCTCCCAGTGGCACCAAGAACTCTGAAATGAGGCTTCATGGGGGCCATTTTCCAGTACTCTGAGCAGGTGCTGCACATCTGCTGCTTAGACCTGTGAGGGGATACCTTGCAGCTGCTACTTGGCATACCAAATATAAGTAGTAGTTGTCCACTGCTCCTGTAACTCCTGCTGCTAGAAGAATGTTTACCAGACTTGGGATCAGGATAAGTGTCCCTTCTCCCTTTCTCATGCTGTCTGGTTTCCTGCCAGTTCTTCCCACTGTAGCTGCAAGGGAGTCTTGAAAGTATAGTTCACAGACTCTTAGCCTGGCATCATAGAGCCAAGTATAGAAGGGTGGAAATGAGTTAAGAAATACTAGGTTACTGGAGATAACTGTACTTGAACAATTAAATAAATAAATAAATAAATAAATAAATAAATAAATAGAAATACTAGGTCAGTAGCTATCTTATACAGTACAAAAAGAAACTATCACTGGAGAGAAGAACAATGAGGATATTTCAAAGTGTTGTAAAGGAGATACTTTTCAAGCAAATAGAGGTACTGCAGAACCAGAGCTACCTAGACCCAGGCATGAGTTCTCTCATCTGCCTTCAATCAAAGAAGCATGTAATTTTTATTTTTATTAACAAAAGGTTAGAACTTAATGTCTTAAGCTATTAGCTTGTTATGACTATTTTAGACACTAAGAAGGCACCTTAATAAAATTAAACCTTGAAACAGGTAAGTTTTGCTAAAGAAACAAGAGGAGCAAAATTTTAACCTCTGCCCACTTGAGCGAGGCCTGAAATAGGAAACCTCAAGAACTTTGTTTGATCTGTGTCATCTGCACCATCACTCAGTGGGCAATGCTAAATCAGAAGAGGCAGAATGGGGCCAAGCTAACCATCAGTACAACTTCTATCTTACAGTTCTTTGGCCCTGACCAACTGGACAGAGCCTGTTTACTTCCAGTCACAGACTGAGTTAAACTGTGGCTATTCTTGGGCCCCCACCTGATTTCTAGCTCCTGATTTGGGCTCTCACTGTACCTTCCTTTGTCCTTACTATGATTAATTTTATGTCTCAATTTGGCTAGGCAATGGTGGCCAGTTGTTTGGTCAAACAGTAGTCTATGTATTGCTGTGTAAGCATGTCTTAGATGCATTAACATTTCCAATCAGTACATTTTGATTAAAACAGATGATCCTCCCATTATGTGAGTGGGCCTCATCTGATAGCTGAGGCTTTAAGAACTAAGACTGAGGTTTCTTGAAGAAGGAATTCTGCCTCAAGACTGCAACATAGAAAACCTACTTGAGTTTCAAGCTTGTTGCCCTGTGGAATTTAAAGCAAGACTGAAACATAAACTCTTCCCTGAGCCTCCAGACTGCCAGCCTGCCCCACAAATTTCATACTTAACAGCCCAACAATTGTGTGAGCCAGTTTCTTAAAATAAATCTCTCTCTTTATGTATACATGTGTGTGTCTATCCTCTTGGTTCCGTATCTCTAAAAGCCCCAACCCACAGACCCCTCAGTCCCTCCTGTCATCCCCCAATATTAATTCTAATCATCTTTGGTTACCACTATTTGGGGCTTCCAAGTCTAGTTGTGAGCACAGTTTCTGAAATACCCCTTGCTGGGTTAAGTACGTTTTTGACTTGTTCTATATACTTCCCAAACACTTTCAAGGTTTCCAGCAGCCTTGACCAGCCTCCCGTCCTCCTGAGTGACTAAAAATGGAAAATCATTTATCATTTTCTGACTCCTAATCACCAAAATATGGCTTCCCTAGGGCCTTCACATTCCAGTTGAAATTATTTATTTAGTTGCTGACAGCCTCCACATTGAGCAGCTGAGGCACTAGAGGTCTGTTGATAGGAGGGGATGGGGCACACACAGTAACATGGCAGAGTGAGGGTCATGGTCGTGGGCTTCACCTGCTACTCCACCGATTATAGGGATATCTGTCATGAAGGAAAGGACTGTGGGTTTATATATGTATTTTAATATAACTCAAAAGATGAAAGTACTGTTCAAATGATGAAATATCCAGCTATTAAATTGTTTTTTACTTTTCCTGAGAAAAGGAAAATAAGCCTTAGGTGTTTTCAGACTGATTACAAAGGTTTTGCTCTGAATTTTATTGAAGCAGATGCATTTAGCTGCTCTTTATGTGGCTAAAAGCCATGCTCACCCAAATCACTCATATCTTTCTGTCAGTCTAATTGCTTCACAATTCACTTTTAGAAACTCTTAACAGCTTTCCTCTCCATTATGAAACATCACAGAAAGAGCTGAGGTTGGTGTTCAAGCACGCAGACTTCCCTACAAGCATCTCAGTGCCCAGACTGGGAAAGCTAAATATTTACTGAACCTCATCTCTCCAAGGTCAGCAGAGACCTTTTGCTAACCAAATCCAATGACCTTTTATCTGTCCTTAGTCTATTTGACCTCCTCCATTCATTTCAAAAACATTTACCGAGGGTTTACTGGGTGTCTGGCTCTATCTAGGTGCTAGGAACAAAGAAATCAACAAGACATGGTTTCTGCTCCCAAATGAAGTGAAAGAAGGAGAGATATTAGAATGTGTGTGGTGGTTCCAAAAATTATGTGAATTAAAGGTATGTGTGAAGCAGCACAGAAAAAGGCCATCTTATTCAGACTGGGCTCTCGAGGGATGGCTTCTGGAGGAGGTAGCAGGAAGTAATTCATAACACATAAGTAGGAATTAACTCATTGAGTGAGGGGAAGAAAAGTGACACAGAAGAACTTACTTGTGTAAAAGCAGCAAAGCATGAAAGAGTGGGAAGCATTCCAAGAACTGCTAGAAGACTGACTGGAGGAAAATGAGTGTATAGGGAGTATAGCCAGATAGGAGGCAGGACAAAATGGGATGTGGGGGAGGCCCCAAAAGATTTTAAAGGAGTACTCTAAGAGTAATATGGAAATAGACTGCTGTGAAAAAGGAGTGGGAAGCAGAAAGATTCTCTAGAAAGTTATTAGAATAGCCCATGGGAGAAATGATGAGAACCTGAACTATGGAACTGGCTGAATCATCCTGCCATTAAATGAGATGACACATGCAAGAATGCATCCAGCTAGTGAGAGGATTCAGTGTGACACTTTGAGCAGCAAAGTCTTTGCAGAGCAAACAGATACAAGGTTCTGGCTAGAATATAGATATGGGAAGTGAGTATATGCACAGCAATGAAAAGAATTAGTATGTTTAAAATCACCATAGAGTGTGAGTCAGAAGAACAATGACCTGAAGATGGAACTTTTAAAAGGAATGACATTTCTTAGAAGCACAGAAAGTGATAGGCCTGAAGAACAAGGGAGCAGTCAAGAAGAGAAAATCCAAAGGATAGCAGTATCAAAGAAGCTTTCAAAACCATTGACTACTGCCCTGACCACTTTGGCTGAGTTGATTGGCTGTCATCCACAAAGTGAAAGGTCTCTGGGTTCAATTCCCAGTGAGGGTATGTGCCCTGGTTACTGGTCCAGTCCCCAAATTGGGCACATATGAGAGGCAACTGATCAATGTTTCTCTCTCTCATGATATTTCTCTCTCTTTCTCCCTCTCTTCCCCTCTCTCTAAATAAAAATACAGTCTTTTTAAAAAATAAAAAAATAAAATCATTGACTAGGAGAGGATCTGTGTAAAAGCTTATAGGTGTGGGTAATGGAGGTAATGGTTTCAAATTATGTGCTTTGTTCTTTTGCCTTCTTGAGTAAACCATATTTCACATGAGGCATCTATCTGCCTATGGACAATTAGATTTGTTACCTAATAAATGTGAAGGAAGGACAAAGAGAAAGTTAGTTTTTTTATACCCCACATATGATTGGGTATGCAGCAAGCAGTAAACCTTGCTCAACAGGTTGTTATCTTGAGAAAGAATAGGCTGAAGGACTTAGAATTTAGGGCTTACTAACATGGAAGCTACTCCATATCCCTACCAACAACCAGGACAAGGAAGGAAGATATAATTAAAAAAAGGAATAAAAGAGCTATCTGGCTGTTTCTGGCTAGGAGGTGAGGGAGAAAGAGATTGGAAGATGTTAATCTTGCGTCTCCCACTTCCATTTCCTAGACTTCAGGGAAATGTTTGTTATATAAGTGAGGATAAGATCAATGATAAAGATATAGGCTATTAGCCACCCACTCATTTTTTTATGGACAACTCTATGAAAAGAGCACCTTTCAACTTGTCCCCTTCCCCTAAGTACAACCTGGGCCACAGCCACGGTTCCCTGATGGTGCAATGTGTATGTAAAAAGAAAGGTTCAGAGGTTGAGCTTTCTCAAACCTCCAAGTTTCTGCATTTGTGCAGCTGAAGAATAATATG